GGCCGGGAGGGGACGACTGTCCATCCCCTCGTGCCCCCCCGCCACACTCACACCACCCGGTCCAGCGCGTCCATCGCCGCCGAGCCGCCTCACGCGCGCGCCGCCGCCGTCACGCACCATCATCCGGTACCTCACATCCGCCGCGGGAAAGGGGCGAGGCCGGGCCGGGCGCCGCAGAACGCGCATGCGCAGAACAAGCCCCGCCCTCCCAGCGGCGCGAGAGGCACGCGCTGGCTTCTCGCCCCGAGAGGGCCGAGTCCCGCCCAGCGGCGGGTGCAAGTTAACTAACGCGCAGGTATTGAGGAGCTACGCAACGTGCGCGGCGGCGGCAGCGGCCGAGCCGCTTGTTTCTGACCTGCTTATCCACCTTCTCCTCCCTAGTGCGTTGGGAGCCACACTGAAGTGGTGCAGATAAAGCATGCCCTTTAAAGCCCAGTTTCTCCCCAGATTTACTTATTTGGGAAGATGGATGCAACTATTAGGAGTTATTACACATAATATAAATTATTATTATATCACTAAAATATAATTATGTGTATATAATTATGTCTATTAATAAAATATTACACATAATAGAAACCAAATGCTAAAGATGTATTTCTGCCTAAAATCCCTAATGCAGTAGCATCACTTTTAAACCTGTATCTACGCTTAATCTAAATAAGATTCCATCAATTTCAAAGCCTGCAGGCCTAAATCAGTCGGTCAGAGTTGTTTAAATTTGTTCCGGTTGTTACATTTGTTCCTAAAGTTCTAAAGGTGTAAGAAAGGACAAGAGTTAATGGCCTCAAGTTGCACCAGGGAAGGTTTAGACTGGATATTAGGAAGCATTTCTTTACAGAATGGGTTGTTGGGCGTTGGAATGGGCTGCCCAGGGAGGTGGTGGAGTCCCCATCCCTGGAGGTGTTTAGGAGTAAGGTCAACATAGCGCTGAAGGATCTGGTGTAGGATTCTGTTTGGGAACTCTCAATGGTTGGACTGGATGATCTTCAAGATCTTTTCCAACCTATACAATGCTGAGATTCTGTGAAAGCTGAAAGACTCAGCAAAATCCTATACAGCAGAAAAATCTTCCTCTGCCTATCTACATCCAATTTGGAATATACTCATCGCCCAGCCTTCCTTTAAGTTAAACCACTTCATGTGCTGCACCCTGCTTCTCTACGTTGGGCATCCCTGAATATTCTCCAAAGCTTTTTAAAAGTCTCTTTTGAGGTGCTGAACACATATACAGTGATAACTGCCACAATGTGCAAAGAAAATGGCACAGGAACGACTGGGATGGTTTTGTGTCTAAGCACAGGGACATGAGCAATATATAGTAACAAGGCAAGGATGATTATGGCAGTAATCCTACTGTCCAGCTATCATACTTACACAACACTCCTTTTTACTCCACACACCAATTCTGAACTGTACTTGAAATAACTTGTTGGGCTTTTTCAGGCAAAAATCACTAAATCTGAAAAATTTGTTATCTGCAGCAGCGGATTCATAGCACTGGCTTTCTGGGAGGACTGGGGAAAAGATGGGTGAAGAGTGAGTATAGTTGCAAAAGTCAGGGCTAATAACAACAGAAACAAAAGTCTGAAAATTATATTTTAAATCTGAAAAATATTATTATGAGTACTCATAGTTTATGATATACATAAAATGTTTAAAAAAACCCTGAACTGATTCCCAGATAAACCAGGACAAAGAAACAGCTGAAAAAGGTCAGAAACCAATTCTGCTACAATACTCCTTGCACATAATACAAAAATTTACATGTACATGTACACAGATTTTGCAGTTAACAAAATGTGAAACTTGCTATGCTGACACAGAATAAACTCTGGGAAGCACCTCTCTGCTGTTAGCAGCCAAAACTACAACAGCAAGCCTTTTCCATCTGCAGCACACTCAGTCCCTCTAGCAGGAGGTTCAGCTGTCAACAAGTGCAGCCCAGCACCACAAACGCTCCCCACTGCAGACAAGAGCATACATTATACCAGTTTGTAACATTCCCAAGATCGTTATTCCAGTTATTTCTCCTCTATCAGCACCACACAAATCAAGTTTGAACAATGCTTTTAAAACTTCTGTGACTGCAATTAAACCTAGAGGGAAGGCCAAGCAGTCTCCCTGAAACCTGAAATGCAGACACTACCATGTGAGAGACCTGTGCCCACGCTGGAGGTGTACAGAACGTGTTCCTTTCTTCCTCACCCTCTTCATCCTGCCTCCCCCCCCTTCTGTCATGTTTCAAGTTGCTTCTACACAGAAAGACCAAATGGCAGGATTGATGGTTTGAAGCTGTTGCACTGTTTTGATGACTTACCTTCACTGATCCAGTGCTGTGAACAACACTGGGGGTGAGCTTCTCTGATCATTACTAATTAAAGTAATTATGCTGGAATTAATTAGGTGTTCCCATCCTCACAGCATTGTTGCAGTTAAACTGTTCTGAGGGAGGCAGAGAAAGGCAGGAAGAAAGGTCAGGAAGAAAATGTTTTTAAAAAAATGCTGTGTGTTTAAAAATATCAATGCACCACATAATCAGCTTTTATATGAAACAAAATGTGACAATATAAATGATGTAGCAGTATGTAGTATCAACCTACAGACTAGCTAGAGGCCACAATACAGTCACATGGATGAGTATGGGAACCACTGATGCACGGGTACAGGATTTTAGGCCTAAAAACCTTCAGAAAGATGCCACAGAAGATCAGAGCCAAGAAGTTACTGGGAGGGGGCAGACCAGAGAGATTTCCTTTTGTATAACAGACCATATTATATAGAAAATGGGGGAAGAGTGACAGATGTTTCATTAAGATCCAGCTTTCAGTTGCTGACTAGTCCACAGGGATTTTCAAAACTTGACTGAACAAAAGCCCTGAGCAACTTGGCCCGAATTCAGTGCTGACCCTATTTTAAATAGGAAGGTGGACAAGAGACCTCCTGAAGTCCCTTCCCACACAAAGGATTTCTAAGATCCGACAAAAGGACAAAGGACACTAGAGAAAATCCAAACTAAGCAATTCGGTGAGTCAAACAAGTAATAAAAGCCACACTTACTTGAATTTTTCTTTCAATAACTGCAGTACAAGAACAGACACAGTATGTGGCTGAATATGACACAGAAGGTGAAGTTATACTTGAAAAATTCAGGACTTCATTTTAAACAATTAATCTTTTTATTTCTTTTTAAAAAATGTCCCAGACTGTACAATACATCAACATTTTTCTAAGGTTGGGGCTTTTTTAATTATGTAACCATTTCCTCTTCTTTTTCTGAGGTAGAGATACGTACATTTCTAATCAGCATTTTTAAAAAACACTTAAGCCCTCCCCGCTATAATCCAAACATAAGAGCAATTCACAATAACACAATGTCCACTTCTCCATTACTAATTGCTCAGATAAATTGGAAATCATGTCACGGCCTATAAACATTGACATTTAAAAGCTGGCCCATTAATCCTGAAAAGATCAGAGCTGGTATCATGGAGGGGCATCATCCAAGGCAACACTCTCAGAAGGGGAATCCTCTGCCCCAGAAGCAGGGCTGTCAGGCAGAGGAATAGAGGTATCTATTTCCAAGTTGTGCTGCTTCTCCAGGTCACAATTCATGTCAGAATTTCCTTCGCCACTCACCTCTCCCTCTGACTCTTCAGTCAGTTTGTCTTGGGCCTGAACCGACTCCTCAGAATCTTCTTTTTCACGCAGAAAGCTGCAAATCGTATTAGGCCTGCTGTAGGAAAAATCTCTGTCTTTGATCTGTAACCACTCCACTCCACCTGATGCAAAAAAGGAAAATTGATACTAGTGACAAAAGGAGTTCAGAGTTAACAGCAGTTTTTTCTTAGTTTAAGTTCACTGTTAAGGCTGAGCCTGACCAACATTTAAGCAAAAGAATCACCTAGGATAGAAAGATGTCTTTCAAGAATTTGAACCAACGCTAAGTTTTGTGGTGTCTTACCATGGGGCTCAAACTATTCATTTTCCTTGAAAAATAAAGCTATGAATAACAGAAAGGCATCTGATAAAGAAAGACCAGCTTAAAATTAAGAGAAACTTAAGTTGATAAATTAACAATAACATGCATAGGTTAAACCAATTTATCCAAGACATGTGGCTACAAGTTTTTATCCAGATACTGGAGGCATTGTGCCTGGTTCACTGATGTCACCAGCTTGGTCTCTAAAGAGCAGTCACAAGGGAGATAAAAGCACTAGGAAAGCGATGAAAAGCATGAATGTCAAGATAGAAAACTATGTTATGTTCACGTCACAAGTACTGTGCCCTGCTCAACCCATACCGTAAAACTAGAAAAGAGAAACAAGAATTGGTGAAAGTTAACGCTACATGGCAAGAGACTTAAACCCCAAACAACAAAAACCACCAAAAAAGCAACAACAACAACAAAAAAGACAGCAACTAGAATTCTACTTGGAGGAGACAGCTCAGAGCAGGCAGATGTTTATAAGGCCATATGGGGAAAACAAGTAAGGATTGACTTATCTCCTAATTCTTCACTTAGTCAAGGCTGACACTCCTAAGCATAGTCCATCCACCCCCCTATGTATAAGAGCAGAAGCACTAACCAACATTCTCTTCTCCTTCTTTCTTTTCTGTCAAAAGTGTCCGTGTCATGTTCAGCTTCTTCATTGTGTGGCACTTGTATTTCAGCTGTACTTTTTGGTTGCCTTCTGCATCTACTATGAAGAGAGGAGGAAAAAAAATACCCCAAAACCAACATTATAATGAATTCCACTATCAGCTGAAACAAGATGACTATTTTTAACCTTCCAGGCTACCACAACAAACAGGACATCAAATCACAATTACCATGCTCTGTGTTTTCTTCAAAAACCACACAGGTTCCCAAGGTATCTATGGAAAACAAAGTGAGAAAGTCTTAGAAACTTATTTCCATCAGCTGTAAACATTTCACCCACTGGCACAGCTCTGAGAACATCCTGACATCCAGCCCATTGCAAAGGCCCAGCACTGGTAACCACAGTGCCAACTCAGAAACAGACAGGAATATCACCACCATCAAGAGTCACTACACAGGAAGATTCCAGATCATCATCTTCCAGACTAATGTTGACACCACAAGGCAAATGGGAGAACTAGATGGCACAACATGCCAGTCCTGCTTATACAGAAGACAACAAGCACTTTAAGGCATTTTACATCCCATATTTTGACCTGCTGGTGCACCCCAGAATCAGCTTTCCAGGCATACTTTCCAGTAAGTAATAAGGATGTATGGCTAATTTAGCAGTGAACTCAAGACTGGTGCTGCTCCATATGGTGTTGTACAAACACCACCCAGAACTTCAGCAACTCACAGGACCATGCTCTCCGTTCGCAGTGCAATTAACTGACATTAAGAAAGCTCTTTGGGTCACATGACAAAGGAGAGGTTTTATCCACAGTTTTTCTTACCTTCATATTCTCCTGCAAATACATATCTGTCCACTTGTAAAATGGGCCTCTCTGTCTCTATTCCCTGTAAAAAGAGAGAAAAAATTGCACACACATCAGGTCTCTCTATTAGCCCAGGCAATATGAGAGAAGACACATACAGCAGATCCCAGATTACATCAATTCCTTGAAGAGATAAATAGTTTAAAAAACCAACATAAGGTAATAACAGTAAAATAAATACTCCATGACATGGTAAATGTGGAAAAAACATGGAATGGATTCCAGACTGTAAAGCTTTCTCAAATTGTCATCTTTGTACAAAGAAAAGTACATCTTTAAAACAGGATTTATGAAAGTGGATAAGACAATTCTGCAGAGAATATGTTTTTACAGAAGCTAGACGACTGCTGAAAGAATGGCAAGACATGTAATTAAATTAATATTTATTAGTTTTCAAAAAAAAGTAATAAAAGTAGTTTTAGTCATTACAATTGACACTAAGATCTTCTGTAATGTTAAACATTGCAGGCAGGGGGAGGAGTTTTCATTTTTGTAGGAGGCTTAGTTAAGCAGTGGTAACTGTTACAAAGGGTTTAACCAATCTTACTGCAGAATTAGTGTACCATTAAAAAGAATAAAATGCAATCACAATTTTTCAGGCTATCATCATACACGTTACCTTAAGTACATTAAACACAAAAAATATACCAGATAATACTGTTCCAGTAATCACCACAAAACCAACAATGCTGAACTGGTATAGAAAATGCTCTAGTATGCTCAAAAGAATCAAAAATGTAGATCAAACTGCAGTCAATGGTCTATTTAGGTTACAGTAAACAAATGTAAAGTGCTGTTATTTCCTCAGGGAAATTAATTTAACCTCCAGTTTAAACAAACAAAAAAATACATATATTTGCATGAAAAAAAGACGTTATTTTCTAAGCTCCAATTACTTACAAAAGTCTTTGGAAAATACAGAAGGTGAAGAAGTCTGGCATAAAGCATTACACCAGCACCAGAAGTGCAACTGCAGGGTCACAGAAGCTTCTGTGATTACAGTGTGTCTACATTGTGAAGGAGTTGGAAATTGTTGTTATCTAATTTTAATTTTTTAAACAAGGAGTCTGAGCGTAAGACAGCAATTCTATCAGCTCACTTCCTTTCCCTACAGCAAAACTTTTCCAAATATACAGGCCAGGATCTCATTATTCTAACATAACATATAAACTGTATTTTGATGAAAATTAATGCCTGAACAGAATACACTAATTAAGACAAAATGCCTTTCAATAGTACCTTGTCAACATCAGTGTTATTCAGGACATGAAGACAAGCACACAGTAAAAGTTTTGAAGCACTATATGGTAAATTGCATAAAATACAGAATATCACAGGCTAATAGGAATTTGTGCACTTTTTTTCTCATACTTCTAAAAAAATGAAATTATCCAAGATCAGCAAGATTTAAGCTCTGGGATTCTCCTGCTGCAGAAGTTGAGAACATCAATAGCATCAAGCTAACACGTAGAACTTTTTTTTTTTTTAACTGCAGGAAATTAATTAAAAAATTAACACATCAGTGGTAGGCAAAAGCACTAACGTTTTTAATATTAAAAACTTTACTTCTTTGGCTGATTTACATTCCTTGGACTATGCACAAATGGAGACTGTCTTCCCCTTATGAGACCAGCATCACAGAAAACTTGCTAAACAGAGTAGAATGTTTTACTGGAGTTTTAACTCCAGTTAAGCAGAATCTTTTACTGGAGTTTTAACAACAGTTGTCTGTTATGAAAAATCTCAAGGAATGCTTCCTCTGTGGAATGAGCGCAGGTAGATTTGGATACGAGTAAGATACAGCACAGACAGATTCAGAAAGATTTTGGCTTTACATGACAGCTGTATTCAAGTTATAAGTGTGCTTAATGTTTGATTGAATGTGAAAAATTAAAAAAAATAAACTTGGAGCTTGAAATCAGAGGGTTATCGATAATGGTCCTAGTTGATAAGTACTTCTGAAAATATTTCCTTATATTTATATTCAAAGGCCATATGCCATTTCTGAAATAGAGAGCCCACAACACGCAGCCAACCATGGCCAAGACAGTACCCATAAATCTCTATCAAAATGTTACTGACTTCAAGGAATTTAGAAACAGCCTCTGTCCCCTGTTCACTTGCATACTGACTTACCCCTTTCCTATTGTGCTGTAATCACTCACCAAAATCTTGCATTTGTTTTCACATTTTTCTAAGAAGTCTGAATCAATAATTCCTGATAGCTCCACCATGACCAGCTGCTCCTACAAAGTAAGTTTATAACATACATCTGTAATTGATATATCTGAACTCAGGAAAAAAGAAATAGAAGCTCCCCCCAAAAAAACAAAAACCCAAGGACAACAGCATACAAAGACCCAGACATTCAGAGTAAACAGACCTCAAATCTGACTTATTCTACATTTTGTCTAGAGAAAACTGCAGCCTGATATTGCAATGCCCAGGGAAATGCAGCGACCCACTACTCCATCAAACACCTGTTTCACACCTGAATTTCTTGGCTTTTTCTTCCTAGCTAGGAAGGGAGCTATCACCCTTGAAAAATTAGGATCGATATGGGTAAATGATTTTGGAATTATAACAGTATGGCCAGTTACGTACTCCAAAATACATTTTTCCAACCCTTTAGTACCTACCCAAGACACCACAGGGCAAGGTAATGTTTAGCAACATGTTGCATGAAATGGTTACCTTTAGTTCTTCGTAAAATATTGCTCTGAAATAAATTCCTGTTTGCAATTCCTTACAGTTCTGGATAAGGAAAATGCAAAACCAAACAAACAAACAAAAAAATAGGCACCTTGAGAAATCTTTTATTCAAGGAAGAATTTTCATTAATCACCATCTACTAAGCACCCATGAATGTACATAATAGCAGAGTAATAGTTTGTATTTTCGGATGCTACTGGGGTAGGAAGCAATTTTAAGTGGAAGAGTGCTTTCTGACAACGCTGCTTTCCACAAAACCTGAAGCCGAACAGCCAAACTGATACAGCTTTCGGGCCAAGACCACTGCAGGGGCAGAGAAAGCCGCCAGGCCCAGGGAAACGCGCTCGCTCTGTGTCCGACCCCACCGCCAGCCCGGTGCTCCAAGAGAAGGGAAGGGAAGGCGTCCCGATGCCGGCACCCACCAACCTCCACCTCGTCCTCCTCCACTCCATCTTTCCTCCCGCCCTCCTCCGTGCTCTCTGCCGCCGCCATGTCGCCAGTAAACACCCCGCTTCCCCTCCTCGCCTCAGCGCCCACCACATGAGCCCGGCGCCGCCATCTTAGAGGGCCGCCGGTCCCGCCTCCCGCCCGCACCAGCCGCCCCCGGCAGGAGGCGGGAGTGAGGCGCCTGC